CAGCAGGTAGTTGTCACCTTTCTTATCCGGTGACGAAATCTGGGGGCATTATTCTCCAGGTTGTTATCTTTATTCCATTAAAAAATTAGTTGGACCATCGATGAAGATGTTATCTTTATTTGTAGTAGTAATATTCATTGCTTTCATTTATTAATAGCCTTTGTCCCCATTCTTTTGAGAGATATTTAATTATGATTCATTACTTAGGCTTGGAGCTCAAAAATAGTAACTTGAGATGTTGGGAATGGTACTGTCAGGAGGTGGACAAGTATTTTGAACTCTCAAACTTTTTGGTTAAAGCAGGGTACAGAGGATCTTACAAGGTATATTTTCATTTCCTTCAAACTTTTTCTGAATTTAAGACCCTTCTGTACCTGAATCTGAGGTTGGTTGTTACATATAATGTGCCAAATATGTAAGACTTCAGCTTAGTTTCATGTGTTTCTTCTTTGTATGTTTGTTTGGTCTATTCAATGCTTGACATCTTCTTGATCATTTTTTGGTTCATTCAAGAAAATTACTACATTAAAAAAAATTATTTCTGATGCAATCAAAAATTATTCAATGTATGCATTCCTATTCCATGAGATACTGAATTTTCTCTTGAATGATGAGTACGTTTGGCTTATATCCTTGTCAAAGTTGTAACTATAGTAATAGTAGTGTTCTACGTCTTCGTCTTTGATCAGTATTCCTAATAAATATTTATTAGTAAATATTTTGAACTTTACCAAGAAGCTGGCCCACACCTTTTTGATTTTAAACCGGTGATGGGGTTAAGCTTTCAAGTATGCCATATGTCTCCTTAATTACCTGTGCTGATTATAAAGTGTATATTTAAACATTGCTATTTGTATAATGATTCTGTGCACTGATTAGCTTAATGAAAGTTGTTTCTAGATATGATTAAGTACGAATGTCAATGTTTCACTTTGTGTGCTAATTTAGATATCCGATTTTTTTCATATAAGTGTGGTAGTAGCCTGTGACCCTACATTTATCAATGTTGTCTCATGTCTGCATGGTGTCGACCAGATAATGGTAGTAAAATGAGGAGAATAACATAAAAGTTAAATTATATTAATTTTTCACTTGAATCTAGTTTTTATTTGAAAGGTAGAAGTAATTGCATTTTGGAAAAGATTTTGACCTTACGTTTCTGTAAAAGTAAGAAAGTGGATGTTTTTATTTAATTTAAAATATATTGTGAATTTTTACCAAAAAATATATTGTGAATTTTAACTCAATAAAATTTAAAAGTCAAAATATTTTTATTCATTTGAGAGACAAATTTAGTATTTTTAAACATTTTGTGCACAAGAAAGTTTATTAGATATTTAATAATTTGGCTTTTAAGATGAGTTTTTTTTTTCACGATTTTCATATTTTGAGGGTCAATTGCCCATTTGAAGTTGCAGTTTAATAATTATTAAATATTCTTTATTTTTAATATTAAATAAATTTTAGAACTAGTGGCAACTATGGGGCATAATAAATAAATAAATAAAATGTTCAGGGCCCAATAAAAATATTTATTAATAAAACTTAAATACTTATTAATTGAACTGTGATGTAAAAAATATTTATTAGTAAAGAATATCAATCAAAGTCAAATGTGTGATGTAGAATATTCTTACAAATGGAATTGGATGTTACATATGTTCGTTCTCTGGAACATGAATTGGTTTATTTATAGCATACTAAAATTGATCAATAAAGATCACAGAAGTTAAGAATATACTGAGATGTGATTTCGTTGTTTCCATGGCCCTTGGTAATTTTAGAGTAATTTATACGTTGGTGCATCTCTGCTGTAATTAACCTCTCCATGCTCTGATATCCTTAATGTTTCAGACTTGCAATTAATTTATAGCATATAAAATGGGCAATAACAGAGGCTTTTAATCCTTTATTATGTATGCTTGATTGGTTGGAAATTTCCCCCATTATCTTATGAATTATATTTGTAAAATATAGGGGCCACATCCACATAGTCAAGGAGTTTCATCTTCACCTACTGTAAATTTTAATCTCCTCTTAGATCAGTTCCTCTGCTAGTTTGTCAGTAATGGTGTTGTCCTGTTCAAAACTTAATCTAGCTTATGAATAGATGCTAGTCTTCTTTAAAGTGTGCTTTTGTTAAGAACTTCCCACAAAGTAAAAAATTATTTAATCGTAGGTGACAAAGACATATAAGGAATCAACTCTCAACAGAATTGTGCAATTGACTGAAGAAGCACAGCTGAATAAACCTATACTTCAAAGGTGGCTGGACATTTTTGGTGAAAGTTACAGCAAATTTGTTGTGGTGTTATCAATTGCTATTGCTGTTATTGGGACACTTGTATTTAAGTGGTCATTCACTAGTACTTCTGGTAATTTTTAAATTCTTTTACTCGAGTATTGCTGTACAATATAGTTTATAAAAATTTTGAAAATTTGTATACAAATAATGATTTTATGTTGGTGGATCCTCATTTCATTATTCTGTTTCAAGAACATTCTTCACATAAGTCGAATTTGCTTAGGTTATTGTATTTTTACTCTTTTTTTCGTTAAATAAAATTAAGTTGAGTCTCCGATTTTTTGAATTGGCCAAGCCACATGATGATTGCTCCTTTTTCATTCAGTAGGTGATCTCATGGATGTATCTCAATTTCTTTATTATATTGGCTTCTTTATTTGATCATGGTTGCCAAGAGCTTATTGTGTATATGACACATAATGTGAAGGGGATTTTTAATCCTTTTGGTTTATGGATAGAAGAAGAAATATATTAGAAGGAATAGAAAAAGAGGATAACCTCCATAATCAAGAGAAGATGCAAAAACTAAAAGTAAAACTTCCATGCTTATTTGTTCGTTTGCTTGTCGTTTTGTTATTGATAGTTATACTGCTTTTATATATTTCAAAATAAATTTTGAAAATTCACATTTAGTTACTGAACACTGGAGTGTTGTATTAAGTACTTGAAAGCTAGGTTTAGTTGTTAATATCTGCAATAAGAAAACTGGAGTTTTAATCGCTATTGAAATATTTCTAGGTCGTAAATGATTGTATTGTACTGCATAAACTTGTGTTTGCATGTGTGAGCTAGCTAAATGTTTGATTTTTGTCTTATCATCAAGCTAAAGTTTAATATTTTCTGTGCAGGTGTGATGGGGTAGACAATGCTTCAAAAGATTGCAACGCATACAAGAACAAGTTTAGGAAGGATAATATGAAAAAATTGTATTGTGATATTTTTTTAAATGGAACTAAGAAAATAATTTTTTTTTGGTTACATAAAATAAGATATTTTTTATACAGATAATCCATGCCAAATTTCTGAATAGTTTTATTTGGCAATTATTTTCCTTATGTAATATTTGTATGTAGAAAAATTGATTCGCTTATATGAATTGAAGACTTGATGTCTTGTATAAATTCTTCAATGATATAAGGTTTGGAGCTTGGTTCATATTTTACTGTGTTTACTACTTTTGCTTGAGCTATTTTTAATATTATTTTCTTTATTATTGTAAGATTTATTAAATTTGAAATATTTTTAATGAAAAAAATTATATATTTAGCCACATTTATGAATGTGGCTAATAAAAATTTCCAGACATTATTAGCCACATGTTTTTATTGTGGCAAATTATCTAATTTAACCACATTTGTAAAGTGGCTAAATTGAGAATAACTGTGGCTAAAAAAAGGCTACCACACTTAGTGGAAATGTGGTTAAATAAATAAAATAATGTGGTTAAATTATTGCAACACCCCTTTTAGACACATTCAATGAAAATGTGGCAAAATTTGTTAGCCACATTTTTTATCAATGTTTGCCACATTTTTAAATGTGGCTAAATAGCCTTTTTTTTGTAGTGCGTGTTTTAATATAATATTGTTTTAAATCATGATTTAAATCAATGCAAAAAATAATAATATTTTTGTGGGTCAAATGATGATTTATAAATTATAAGCTAAACATGCTATCTCTCTTCATCTCACATGCTCTTTTCTAGTTATAATTTGTTTTTACATGAAAAAGATATAGTCTAGCAAAAACAGAAAAAATATGAGATAAATCTAAAATAAATAGACGAAACAACTTCATGGACATTAAATGATGAACAATATCGTTGTCTCGTGAGATAACTATTGCATTTGCCAATCAATCTGCACAAGAGTTGTTTTCCCTTAGCATAAAACAAACTTGAATTTTTCAATCTTTAGAGAATCAAGCCAAAAGTCTGGTCAAGAAGTGCATGTGATCGTCTGATATCATCACCATGAGTGGTGAGCATTGAGCTTTGAGGATTATTTTTTAAAGTCCGAGGGACCAAGCCAATTCTAGTCCCTTTGGTGCATCCCACATCTCAACTTCCACCGGATTACAATCTTCCAAAACTAGTTATCCCACCAAGCCAATCACCTCTATTCAAACAGATTAGTGCCCCACAACTAGTTTTCCAATCTATAATCTTGATTGCCCCATCAAAGTTAACCTTGACCCATCTAGGCTCAGGAGGCCACCAATTAGTAAACTAATTATCTCTGCTATTTAGGTTAACGATATTAGTAAGTAACCAAAGAGGATTCGAGCTGCATTATTATCACTCATATATTCTAAGATAACACTAAACTCCGCTTATATGTGCTTGCATGCATGGTCTGTCTCAAGCCAAGATAAAGGAGGAGGGTTGGCGTCAGGTGTAGCAAACCGGCCATAAAAAACAACTATATTTTTATGTGATGAACCCATATGATTTTTCGTTGGGGCGTACCCTTCATAGCGACGCGTTGCATCGGGCCCCGAATGTAGCAAAAAATGGGCTAGGGCCCATGCCACAAGGCAAGGCGCTGCATCGGGCCCGGGTGTAGTGAAAAATATGCTAGGGTCCTTGCCCCAAGGCAAGGTGCTAGGTCTCCACCCAAATTTGGTGAGAAGTATGTCAGGGTCCCAACACGCAGATGAGTGAGCGTGGCGGGCAAGTACAGCCCAGGGGTTAAGGATGCGATTGGGAAGCTGGAACATAGGAACCTTAACGGATAAATTGAGGGAGTTAGTAGATGTTTTTGTTAGAAGAAAAATGAATATTGTTTGTTTGCAGGAAACTAAGTGGGCTGGAGAAAAGGCTAAGGAAGTGGATGGAACTGGTTTCAAGTTATGGTACACAGGTATTAACAAGAGTCAGAATGGTGTTGGAATTATGATCGATAAAAGTTTAAGAGATAAAGTTGTGGACATCAAAAGAAAAGGCGATAGGTTTATTCTGATTAAGCTTGTAGTGGGTGATTTAATCCTGAATATCCTTAGTGTGTATGCACCCCAAGTTGGATTGCAATCAATTGATAAAAGCCAATTTTGGGAAGACTTGGAAGAGGTTTTAAGGGGAATACCCCGAAAGGAGAATATTTTCTTAGGAGGAGATCTAAATGGTCATGTTGTTAAAAGCAATGGAGGTTTTGATATAATTCATGGAGATTTTGGCTATGGGACGAGAAACGAGACTGGAGAAGATATCTTGAATGTTGCACTAGCCTACTTTTGATGCTAGCGAACACCTTTTTTCGAAAAAGGGAGTCACATCTAATCACATATCATAGTGGCGAAAATCGTAGTCAGATTGATTTCTTTATGGCTAGAAGAGAGGATAGAACTTCTTGTGTCGAATGTAAGGTCTACCCTGGAGAGTGTGTCGCTACGCAACATAAGTTAGTAGTCCTGGAGGTTCGGTTCAACAAAGTACTTACAATGAGGAAGAGGGCTCAAGAACCCAAGGATAAGATGGTGGAAGCTTAAGGAGGGAAAAAAGAGAGAGTTCAATGAAAGAATGTTGCACAAAGGACCTTGGGAGTTTGTTGGAGAAGCAAATGCAATATGGAATAAGATGACTAAGTGTATTCAAAATATGGGAATGAGGGTGTTGGGAGAAAGCAAAGAAAATGGATTTCATACAAAGGAAACATGGTGGTGGAATGGAGAGGTGCAAGAGGCAATTAAAAATAAGAAGAAATGCTTTAGATCTTTGCATAAAAGCCCCAGTGAACATAACTTGCAAAAGTTTAGATTGGTGAGAAAAAATGCAAAGAAAGCAGTGCGAGAAGCTAGAGGCAAGGTTTTCGCTGATTTGTATAAAAATCTTGGGAGCAAGGATGGTGAAAAATGTATATATAAACTTGCAAAAATAAAAGATAAGAAAAGTAAAGACCTCACACAAGTTAGATGCATCAAGGATGAAAATCAAAAACTTTTGGTGAGATATAAAGATGTAAATGAAAAATGGATGAACTACTTCAACAAGCTGTTTAATGAGGATGGCGATATAAGCGAGGTGAACTTGGAGGACACTTATGATGCTTTGAATAGAAGATTTGTGCATAGAATTACTACACATGAAGTTAAGGAGGCTTTAAAGAGGATGAAGACTAATAAAGCCTTGGGACCTGATGGTGTCCCTATTGAAGTGTGGAGAGGCCTGGGAGATGTGGCAATAAAATGGTTGACCAATCTTTTCAATAAGATTCTTTAGACAAATAAGATGCCTGATTCATGGAGGAAAAATATGATTGTGCCTATTTACAAAAACAAGGGAGATATACAGAATTGTTCTAACTATAGAGGCATTAAGCTAATGAGCCATACTATGAAGTTGTAGAATAAGGTTATTGAACATCGCTTGAGGGGAGATACCAAGATTTCTGTAAATCAATTTGGATTTATGCCAGGAAGATGTACCATGGAAGCCATTTTCTTGATACGATAATTAATGGAAAGATATCGAGAAAATAAGAAGGACTTACATATGATGTTCATAGATCTTGAGAAAGCTTACGATAGGGTTTCAAGGAAAGTTTTATGGTGGGTTCTGGAGAAGAAAAAGGTACCATCAAAGTATGTAAAGGCAATCAAGGATATGTATGATGGGGCTACTACATGTGTAAAAGCTTGTAACAGAACATCAAGTTATTTCCCTATCACGGTAGGTGTACACCAAGGGTCAGCTTTAAGTCCTTATCTCTATGCCTTAGTTATGGATGAACTAACAAAAGATATTCAAGAGGAAGTGTCATGGTGTATGCTTTTTGCAGACGATATTGTGCTTATCGATGAGAGCAAAGACGGTGTTAATAGAAAACTTGAATTGTGGAGAAGCACGTTGGAATCTAAAGGATTCACATTAAGTCAGAGCAAGACTGAGTATCTGAAGTGTGAGTTTTCTCTGGTAAGAGATGTAGACCAAGATCTCGTGCATCTAAGTGGTCAAGATGTACCCAAGAAAGATGCTTTTAAATACCTGGCTCTATTTTGCAAAAAGGTAGAGAGATTAATGAGGATGTAAATCATAGAATCAGAGTAGGTGGATGAAATGACGTAGTGCATATGGGTTTTTGTGTGACCGCAAAATCCCCCTTAAGTTAAAAGGAAAATTCTATAGAACAGCAGTAAGACCTGCAATGCTATATGGAGCTGAATGTTGGCCAGCACATAGGCAACATGAGCATAAAATGAGAGTAGCAGATATGAGGATGTTAAGGTGGATGTGTGGTTATACGAGGATGGATAAGATAAGAAATGAAGATATTCGACAAAAGGTAGGAGTACTATCGGTGGCTGATAAGATGAGAGAACATAGATTGAGGTGTTTTGAGTACGTAATGAGAAGGCCCCTGGATGCTCCCGTAAGAACAGAAGTTTGTTACCAAGAGCTCAACAAAAAAAAAGATAGAGGTATAACGAAACTTACTTGAGGGAAGGTAGTAAAATAAGATTTAATGGAGTGGGATATAGATCGGTAGACGATATGTCTTAGAACGGAATTGAGAAAAGCTATAAGTATGGTGGAGGGTTAGACCCGTTGTTATTCCTATGTTCCAGATGGTCCCTTTTTAGTCCTTTTCCCCTTAATTTCCCCCTCTTCTTCTTTTCCCTTTCTTTTTTTACTTATATATATATATATATATATATATATATATATATATATATACTATTTTATTTATTTATTTATTTTTACTTTTTTTTTTTTTTTTTTTTCAACCTTTTTGTATCTTTTATTTAGGTTCATCTATCACCGACTCCAATTAATTTGGGATAAAGATATCGTTGATGTTGATTCTAAGATAACACTACTAGGATTACTTGGCCTTAAAAATTGAGGATTATATATGGTCTCCTTACGCTGCTTCCATAGACAACATGTGGTAATGAAATAAATTATCCAGCCAACTTCGATTGGACTTGTGTCTCAATTTACTATGCAGATTATCATCATAATTCATACAACCAAACATGTAAGTCCAAGGAGAAAAAATCTATGTATATAATTAAGAATAGTTATCAAATATGGATTGCGGTCCAATGTTACAGCGGGTTGCAGCATAGTGATATAGCGGATGCCATAAGCTCAAAAACACAACACAATCACAATGAGCTTAATTAAATGATTATCCAAATGAAAATATTATTAACTCAAATTTTTTGAAAAACTAAAACATAATTAAATAAAGGCCACATAATGAAAAAATTCTAACACGAATTAGCTGATAATAGCTGAAAATTAATAAATAAATAAAAATGTACTCAACTTTCTTAAGTTGTAATTTACAAATTAATACTATGAATTTCAAAATTGTTATAATTGATTTTTAATTTTTAACTATTACTACAACATATCCTTTATGTTAAACGTTTTAAAAAAATGTCATTTAACGAAATATGACTATTGCTAAAACAACAAATATAAAAGAATAGCATCCTTATGTGTCCATCAACTCTTGTGTTGAAAGCTTGCTGGTCCTGTAGTCAAGGGGACTCAGTTAATGGCCAATTGAAAACAAAGGGGACAGTTATTTTCAAACTTTGTTGGATTGTTTGGTGTAAAACCTTGTGTACTTTTCTTTCTTTCTTTCTCTCCCTCATTTATTTTTATTTCCTATCATCACAATTCACTGCTTCTCCCTCCGTCTGCAAAATATGAGTTTCAACCCTCCTGAGCAACTATACTGGTCCTTCCGATAAACATAAGGAACAGCAGAATTTATTGTGTTGGCATCCACAAAAGATAAGTACTGCTCGTCACATCTCAGCCGTACGTGGTGCCCAGAGTACAGTTGCAATACCGAAGCATTTTCTTAAGTTGGTCCTATCTGAAACCCTTTACTCTTCAATTCAATGTAACTAATATTGCACTTTCTACACGTTTAGGGTTAATGATTACATCAACATGCACTAAAAAATTTCCATGTATAGTTTAAAGCACAACCCAATCAGTGTTCTTAACAAACACTACAAGCAAAGATGAGCAACCTCTCCCTTTATAAGTCACACAGACATGAATTATCTGCTAGGCAACAAGATCGAGCGCCTTCAGCATAAAAGAAGCCAGGAAACATCTTCAAAAATCAAAATTACTGTGGAACAGTAAAAAAAAAAATTGTATTCAAATTTTGCTTCTCTTGAAAAAATTTGCCCAGCATAAGCCATTGCTAATCAGCAACAGCATAACATATTTAGGCTCCTGACAGACCAGCTAGTCTTCTCTTGGTCACAATACCTTCTCAAGAATAATACACCAGTTGGATTTGTCAAAAAACCGATCAACAACTTTGGCATTGCTTATTTCAGATGCCAACCTGCAAAAGTTACTGAATAATAAGTGCCAACCTGCAAAAGTTACTGAATAATAAGTTAGAAATTGGAACCTACGCATCCTGCAGATAATGATATTAATTCATCTGAAACAAAGTTCTGCACTGTAATCCTTTCAAAATTGAAAAAAGTTTATTTGAAACATAGATTAGAAGCAATGAAACAACTTGTTCCTTAACTCTTATAATGCACCTTCAAATTCAGTTGATTAATCAATGTGGTCAAGGGTGTAAATGGGCTGGGCTGGGCTTTGGCCTTCCTGGCCCAAGCCTACGTAAAAAAAAATTCAGCCTATCTGGCCTACTGGCCTATTAAAGACTTTATTTGTAGGCCAAGCCCGGCCTATTTTTAAAAATAAGAAAGCCCGACATGGCCTACAGGCCTTGTAGGCCTACCACTGTATATACTAAGCAAGAAAATAATTGTATAGAGTAAAGAAAGTTTCATTCATGTATGCACTAGTACTTCTCATAAGAAAAAAATAACAAACAAGAAAGAGTCAACATAATACCCCAGCTCTAGAATGTATATCATAGAGGAATAGAGTCAAAGAAATAGGGAATATAAGAAAAATACAATTATTGGGTGCTGAAATAAAATTTACAAGAGAATGTCATTCATCTAAAAATTAGGGTTGGTATTGGTATTTTGCCATGCCACATAAAATAAATATTGTTTTATTATTTTATTTTTAATAAATTAAATAGGCCAGTCTACAAGGCTTTGGGCTAGGCTTGGCAAAATTGGCCTACGACCTATTTGTTAAAAAAGCTTTCTTAAAAGGCTAAGTCTACTCTGCTTTTCTGAAAGGCCGGGCCAAGCCAGACTTAATGTAGGCCGGGTCGGGCCAGCCTGGCCCATTTACACTCTTAAATGTGGTAAAGAAGACGCAGGCATGACACATTATATATTTTGATAGCATATATCAAAAATATCTCATAATATCTTGATTGTAGCTTATAATAGTTTACAGTGGAGTGAGTCCTCTCATGTTAATAATAATTGGACCACACCTATTTAATGTATGTGAAGAGTGTGAAGAGAGAGAGAGATACAAAAATTTCACATGATCAGGTCATGTGAAATTTTTTTTTTTTTTTTTTTTTTTTTTTGATAACAGAAATTTTAACATGAGGGACTTCATCCCCAGAGTAGAGTATCTTATATGATCTCATAGGAATAATTTCTTTATTTCTTTATACTTTATGATTTATTTCCTTGTTTAATTAGGATTTGAAGTCTGATAGTAGTATAAATAGGGACTACTTGGTAGCCTATATCACATCAAATCAAAATCAATTTCATATAATTCAGTCTTTATTTTTTCTTTTTTTTTCCTTCGCTACCAAAATCCCTATAATTTCAGCATGGTATCAGGGAGGTACCATACTGGGTAACTAGTCCCATCACTATTATACTGTCAAATTCCCTAAAATCTGGAACCCTATTGTAACAATGTGAGGTGGCAAAACGGGTCTAACCTGTCAGGTTGACCCCATTTAACCCACCACAAATGGTAGGTTGGGTAGGGATTTTCATCAAGCCAACTCGTTTGAACCTGCCCTTAAGGGCTCAACCCGCCACGGGGCCGGTTGTCCCATTGGGTGGTTTTTTTTTTCATTTTTTTCAAAAATCATTAACTAATGACCTTTTTGACACATATTTTGTCTTCATTTGATACCTTTTACATCCATGGAGAATATAATTTTTGAAAAAATTTTAATTTTCTAATATAATGGCGGGTAAGGGCGGGTTACTTGCTTTGCCACTTTTTTTTTTTTTTTTTTTTGGTATCCTTGCTTTGCCACCTCTATTAATGTCTTTATCTCCATGATTTTTTTCTTCCCATCATCTTTATTTATTTATATTCCACGGTTTATTTTCTTATTTAATTAGGACTTGGAGTGTAATATTAGTATAAATAGGGTTTAGTGCTTTGTAGCTTGTATCACTTTATAACACATCAAATCAATACCAATTTCATGTTATTCAGTCTTTATTATCTCTTTTCTTTCTTCTCTACCTAAATCCCTATAATTTACACACACGCAAAAGCACACTCATGTGCACACACATCAAATCAATACCAATTTTATATTATTCAATCTTTATTGTCTCTTTTCTTTCTTCCGTACCTATATCCCTTCTCCATTACTTGTGAAGACAATTTCTTATAGTCTCAAAAATAGCACAACTTATACCCTAGCTTTTTCACTAATAAATAACAACTAGCAATAGGGAAATGACAATGAGCAAATTTGAAACTATTCATCGTTTGACAGCTACGAACTAGCTAACATCTAAGTACTTCAAATTTTGAAACTTCAATTGCTTTCATTGAATATAATGTAACCATCTCATCCTACTTTGCTTATGCACTTTATATTTCTAGATTCGGATATAAAGCATGCTTACATAGCAAAATTGAGATAGAGATTAAGCACACCAAACTTGAGCAACCTATTACATGGGAAACAAATAAAAGAACTTTTTCAATTACAAGATACTTAAAGAACTGTTAGATTAGAAGAACAAGAAAATTTAAACCTGAGTACTTGGTTCAATGATTTACAAGCTATAATCAACTAAACAAGAAATGGATTACAAAGACTTTTAATTGTATTGTATTCACACAGAAAGACTCTAGTTGAGGTTGCAAAAAAAGTTACCTTTCAAGCTCGCCTTCACTAAAAACATGGTAATATCTGTTGTAGACTACAGCACCCTTTTTGTCATCTTTAGTTGCCAGACCATTAGCAAGAGCCTGAGCAGAAGCACTGGAAATTTCAGCACGATGATAAGGTAAATGCCAAGGAACAAAATATTCCTGTTGATTCTCAATATTCTTTTCGTCATTCAAATCGCCTGAATAATGTTGAGCCTGATTACTTAGACCCGAAGTTTCCTGAAATTTCTTAGTGGAACACTCATTGAAAACTTTCATGTGCTCACCTGAGCTACTTTCCTCACTTTCTGGAATACTTTCTAAAGATGTGGAGGAAGGGGTCCGAGCACGAGGACTTCCTGGCCCTATCCACTCTTCAACATACTTCGGTATAAGTGGAGTCCATTTGGTAATCAGCGACCTATCCTCTTGTTCTACTGCCCAAACCGTAATCAGAACGAGGCCACCCTTTTTAACAATTCGGACTAATTCTTCTATTGCTTTTCTCCTTCTATTTTCAGTACTTAAATGATGTAACACAGCTATAGATATTGCTGCATCACCAAAACCAGTTTTATAAGGAAGATTCACAGCATCTGCAACCATAACTTCATGCCCTCTATCTGCACATATTTTAATTAAGGAAGGACTTATATCGCATCCTATAAAAAAGCAATCACGATTTAAGCCTAAGTATTTCCCATTGCCACATCCTGCATCCAGAACAAGAGATCCTGAAGGCAAAGAAGACAAAAATGTAGCTACCTTTGGCCACTTGGCAAACCGGGTGGAACTGAAATGGGGAGCAATAGCATCATAAACATGATGGACATACTTCTTTTCAATTTCAGGGGTAGACTGTACACTTAAAGATGAGGTGTTTGGGTTTTCATTGACCGAGAGAGAATTAGTGATGCAGGGTTCCCTGCTGGAGGCAAGAGTACACAAACTAGAAGCCACTTGAGAATTGATTTCTTTCATTGAGTCAAGTGCTGATTGACATATGTTACCACTAAAGACAATGGTCAAAGCAAGGGCTTCTCTTGGTTGACAGAGAAATCTACTTGCTTTTATAGAACATTATGAACCATCAGTCTGCCCCACTACACCATTGATCACCTACATCAAGTGATAAACAAATTTTGCAAACAATATTTGTTATTTATGAAAAAAAATCTATAAAACAATTCAAAAAGTTGCTATTAACTTTCCCCGATTTATATACAGAGCTGATAAAACAACTGAAAAAGTTGCTATTAACTTAAATTTGTTGGATGCAAGGATGAATAATTTAAAAAAAAAAAAAAAATCATTCTCCATTAAAACCCGAGAGGGTGGGGTAAGGGCAATCCTTACCCCTTACATATTTGCAAAGAGATGACCTTTCAGTCATAAATAAACAGTATTCTTACCACTGCTCTCCTCTTATAATTATTATTATTATTAGACAAGCTGAAAAAATGCGGGAAAATGAGATACCATTTTTCAGAGATACATATAAGTCAAACAATTTCAAACACAATATTACATTAAACAAAAAAATAAAAAAATAAAAAATTAGTTAACTCCTAAATAATTCCACACTTTCCTCTGTCTCAATGTCAATACACTCAATCTCCCACTCATATAAACGGATTCCACATATGTAAGAGTTTGGGATTAAACCCAATTCATACACTTTCAACAACAATGTATGCTGGGATTCCGGTGAGGTAAAAATCATGCAGATCATTTTTAAAGGTGTTGTACCATCTTCACTTGAAGACTTCGATCAAAGTTTCTCCTTTTACTACTATAATATATATAACCCATAAGCAGTGTCAATATAATTAAACAATCAAAACATCAATTAGACTCTAAAAATGCTTTCCTCGGAAACTAAGAAATTATTATTATTATTATTTTAGAATAAGACCAACCTCGTCGTCGCGGTTCTACTTTTAATCAAATCGCACCGGCGGGTTGAATCCGGTCTGAGTATAAAGCAATTGAATTGTTGCTGTGGCGGCTATTCCTTCTTCTTCTTCTTTTAAACGGGTCAGCCCAAACAACGTTGTTGGATTTGGGCTGAGTTGTCGACCCGAACCGATTTGAGAATATTATTTTGGGTAAAATTCGAAGGCCCGATCCGGAGAAGCTGAGATGTCAGCGATGACGGTGACTGCGATTTAGACGGGTCCGCTCCGACTCCTCCGAGTGCCCGATGAAAGGTGAGTTGGTAACTGTTTGGTCGTTCATAAAATAAAGAGAAAATACGAGGAAATTATGTTGGGGAAATTGGTGAAAATGTCGAATTAAGTAAATCTGTTGCGGAAGTGGCTAAGGATAAATGATTTATTTAATTAATAAACAATGTAAAGTAATAAAAAAGTAATTAATATTTTTTTTAATCCAATTCGGTTGAGCACAGACTCATATTGAAATGAGTCTTCCAATATTATTTTCTCCTGTCCAACACCCGATTTCGAGACACAATGTTAAAGGGAAGAAGCTCTTGCCATATGACACTTACGGTCTTTTGACCTTAGTAGTTCAATTTTAATAATCTTTTACTGGAATAATTTGTTGGTGAAAATAATTACCTATCTAATGTATATTGATGGGGCATGTAGGATATCATGTTGAGTAATGATAGAATACAAGCCGCCTCCTTTACAAATTTTCTGACCAATCACACTGATTGATGTACTGAAACGTGGCATACATGAAATCATGTTTCTTGGTGATAGTACACCAACCGCGTCCTTAACATTTTATTTGAAAATTAAAGAAAATACAACAGTTACGATTTATAATTATATTATAAAATGGTTTCTTTTCATAAACTCAATTTGGGAAGTAAAGATATTAAATGGTATAGAATGAATAAGAATACAATTAATTCATTATTATTTTAAACAACTTTACTAATTCATATAAGGGTGGGAACTCAGACATACTAAAACTTAACAAGAATAAAATGAAAATTTATATACGATTTTAATGGGACAATGAGATATGGTTTTAATATGGAGTATGAACATAAGAATATATGTTTTTTTTCGTAAAGGTACATAAAAAATAAATTTGATCTACTTAAATATAAAATAGTAATAAAGTTTAATAATATTAATATAGCATCTTTAACAATCTTAATAGATTAATTAATACAAATATAATAAGCTGTTTCTGATACTAAATAAAAAATTGTAATAATATAAAAATATTATTTTAACAATTTTTATTTTTACAGGTTCTGTTTTTGTATAAAAATATTAGGTTAGTGGAATCCTAAATTTGATAATTTGTTTTTGTTTATATTATTATGATTGTATTTAATTGCATAAGATGTCATTATTATTGTATTAGGTAGTTTATAAAAATTGTTAAAAATGCTATATGTATGTTATTAAATATCTTAGGTTAGTGGTTTAGTATTTTATGCATAATTGTATTTTTACGTTGTTTAAAAGTCCCATATTTTTTTGGCTAAAAGTCTTAGATATTATTTATTGCAATACTCGGACACGTGATTTTTTCAAAAAAAATGCGTATCGGACACGTATCCGACACGCGATCAATATTTTAGGACACATGGTCAACTCTCCGACACGCTCTGACACGTTTTTCGACATGCAGTCAACTTTTTTCAATTTATGTTATGAAATTTGAATATCTGTTATATGACTTATTATGAACTATTATATGTATTAAATATAAATTCAGTAAATAAAATTACAAAATTTTATCCTCAAAATATGAAGAGAAAAAAATTCAATAATCCAGACATCATCATTATTTCAATTTTATTATATGTAAAAGAATCACAATATAAAAGATGGGATTGATTATATTTACCACCAAATTATCTTACCACCGTTTAATAACTGTTAGATCAGAGTTTATCTCACCGCTTTGGATTAATGTTAGTTTCTCATTATCTAATCACATCAGCTATCACTATCTCTCGTTTATTGTCAATGGGTATGGAGAATTGGTACATTGATGTCTGGTATATTATTATAATTCGAACAATTTATGCCCAAATCGACATCACCTTGGTAGGAAAGGAAATGGGGACAAAATGAAATGATATCACCCATAGTCAAATTAAAGGATACTAACAGGTGGGAATAAGCGATGTCGATTACATGTAATTGTTGTGTAATAAAATAATGCCATCGAACAAATAAAATCGACCCATAAAAATCATAAGATTTTGAATATTGTTTCTTTTATTGGTGCGTCGCTCAGATTGGAATGGGTTACCAAAAGTTATTGTGCTCTTTTCTATCTCAATTCATCCCGAATGCGAAATTTTTTAAAATGCTCGGGGACTACCAAATTTTTTGGTGCTTCTTTTCCTTTTCTGATAAAAAATTACTCTTAAACCCTTTTTTATATATTTTCTTCTCAATCCCCTTTTATTTTTCCTTTTTGGCAGAGAATACCGTGCTCCCAAACCATGAAAGAAACGCTCCAGATGGCTATAATGGTTATGTGCGATATTGATTTTTTGGGCTCGAAAAGACTTAATTTGTTTTAGTTTGATATGATACATTCATCATAATGTACTCTGAGAATTTTTTCAATTTTTCCACAGGCAGTAGAAAGGGTGAGAGAAGGATGAGACAGAATGGGAAATTAACAATAAACTAGAGTCATTGGATCAAATCTGATCTAACGGTTATAAAATGGTAATAAGATGTGGTAAGATAACTTGGTGGTACCAACTTGATAGTTGTTATTTATTTATTTAATAATATTGGAATTTAATAATTAATTAATAAGTGTTACCCAATAAATTATAACCGTTATATTGATGAAAATTAATGGTTAAAATTTGGTAGGAAGAAATAATATAAAAAAAGTAATAAGTATAATCTCCCATAATTTTATATATCTCATGAAAATACAAAAATGTCCTGACTCAATTTCTTGGTGTCTTTTCAAACTTTCTGTTTCCGGAGATGATTTTGTGTGCTCCGGGAGCAAGAAAAAATGGATGAGGCGGAGGCCAGAGAAAGAGAAAAAAGATTGAGGAGAGAGAAGAGAGGGAAAAAAAATGTAGTTCGCGTGTCAATTTTTGAATGGAAGGACTATGGTAATGATAGTCCTGGACCATATTAAAAAATAATGACAAAAAGACGTTTTAATTAATGACAATCATGTAATCATGGAACAATAAAAATAAAAAAAATAAATAAATAACAACTATCAAGTTGGTGCCAGTCTACTATGGAACTGAGCATGTGGGGTAAAAGCAAATGTTTGATCTCCTCGGTATATCTTTGGGAAAGATTTAAAGTTTTAATCTCGAAATCGGACTAATTACGAAACGATAATCCAATTGAAATATTTAAAAAAAAAAAACTAAACACTAAGGACGATCATCAGAAGTTCTGTGTAGAGTTCGTGAGGGACAAAAAGAGGCTGTGAATTCACTGAGTTGTTTGTGCTTGTGTCGGTCGAAGTCTATTTCCGGTGCAAGTGTAGGTCCGTCGAAGGCTAAGGCAGTGCAGTCCAAGGTGGTCCAGTACTATTCTGTTGTACATAATATTTTCTCAACAATGCACCATAAATGTCTATCTAATTCTGGAGCTAATCTCTTACTTAATGCAATTAACAGGATATTGATGTGGACCTAACCCAAGATTAAAGACCTAATAAGAGAAAGGCATAACGAGCCAAAAGTGGGAGTGTTCATCTCGCGTAACATGAAACCTCCTCATACGGAATATTTTAATATGATTACGAAAAGTGGGAGGAGTGTTCATCTTCGAGGAACATGAGAAACGTACAACCTCCTCACACATATGATAAACTATTTAGGCAATTGCAAATTTGCAACTATACGACGCCAACTTTTGTATTTTGACCCCTGTATGAACCAATGATTAAAGTACAGAAGATACTTACATGTCGCCGGTGATAAATACAATCTTCCCAATTTTTCATTAGCTTAGGAAATTGAAAATGTGACATCTATTGGATTCCAAGAAGTGAGATAATCCAAAATTTTAAAACAGGTCAAATCCGTTAGCTTTTTGATGTGATTTATTATTTCCTATCTTTCTCTATTAGTTATAATAAATTTTTAATTGACGATTTTACTTTTGTGTAAATTACATTTATATTTAACTTAAATGATATTTCATATTTAATTTTATTAAACTGTTTAGAAGTGACATGCAATATTATTTACTTTAGTCCTAAAAATACTGTTTCTAAAACACCCTAAAAAGGGAGATTATTTATTGTGGTCGGGACCACTATTTTTTAGGTGGTTCCTTAGTGTAAATGAAAGGGTAAAATTGAAAAAGAGAAATAATAGTAGGGGTAAAAAGGAAAAGGAAAAGGAAAAATTGATGATGTGAGAGGGAGCACCAGATCATTGGGTGGTCCTGGACCATAATAAATATTTCCCTAAAAAGGATGTTTAGTAGATGAAAAAAAAAATTACCCGAAGGACCCGTTTGGTACGTGGGTATATCTTTTATGACCAGAAAAGTTAAAGTGACATTTTTTTTTTTGATTGTTCCACTGATTTTCGGATCTTCGCCCTAACTATGTCCAGTTCGATCCGAGTAGGTTACTTAGCATTGGCATGTGAGTCTCCCAGCGAGGATTTTCTGTATACACAAGGTCTCGAACTCGAGTCCTTGCTTAAGCGTACCCAAGTACCTTACCACTTGAGCCAACCCCCGTTGGTTAAAATGACATTCTTTAAGTACTATGTTTGGTACACTTAAATGCAAAATTACGGTCGGCAATTTTTTTTTTTTAGTATTTGCTATAATAAGAATGAGGATGGAGAATGCAATTGAAAATGTGTAATTTGAGGAATTCTACTTAATTGGAAAATGGAGCGTGAAAAAGTGGAGAAATTTCAGACAAATATGCTCTTCATCATATTGTGTCCTCAGTTGAAAAACGTCAACTCAAAGTTAATTGTGTAAATTTGTTGAAATTTTCAGTAATATTTTACCATTAACCCAACATAGTATTTCAAAAATCAATACAATATTGTCAATAATATTTTCACCGGTCAAACAACTTTTTCTAATATTTCTAGTAAAATTATTTGTTCACTATATTATTTGAAATCATGATTCGATTCCTGGATAATAATTTTTTTTTACCGTATCAAACGCTTCCGAAAACCATAATTTTCATAAATATTATCAAAATCTTATTTGATAAACCAAAATGTTACGAAAATATTAGCTCAACGAACATTAGTAAGGATATGTATGGTATATTGTCAAATGGGGTGCGTATTAATTTCAAGAATCGGAGGTACGAGACGCGAGCTGGTGCGTGCGTGACCATTGCTTCTCCTATCGTCGTCTTCGGTCGTCCTGTTTTCAGGGTTTCAGTTTCCCTTCGTTTCTTCCCACTTACCAGCGTTTTTTATAATCTTAATACCTCAAAATTAATGTTTCTGAAACCGATGGTTGATCCTATCCAACACAAGATCGCAGTTCCTCCGTAGTTTCGTTTCGAATAACACGCGAAAACGAAAGATATATCCACAGACGCACTATCCTATAATACGTAACGCTGTATTGTTCCCTTATGAAAAGCTGGAGATGGCGAGAAAAGCCAGTAACTGTGCCATATGCGAGAATTTGAATCAACCTTCGATTTGTTCCATTTGTGTCAACTACAGGTATATGCATTAATTAATCAATTAATTAATTTCTACTTTAGGTTTCAGAACTTGGTTAATCAATTAATTAATTTCTACTTTAGGTTTTAGAGAGAAATGTATCGTGAAAATTGTGCTAATTTGATTGACTGATTGAATTGTTTATTTATTTTGATGATGTTTTGTCTGGCAGGTTGAATGAGTATAATACTTCCTTAAAATCGCTGAAAGATCGTCGAGATTCGTTGTACTCAACGTTGAGCGAAGTTCTTGTCCGCAAGGTTTGAATTATGGCCTGGCTTGATTTGTAATACCCAAAACACATGATCCTAAATTAACTTAGTTTTGAAAATGAATTTGATCATCTTCAATTATGTATATAGGGTCACTATTATTTTACACGAATATAAGTTACTCTTTTAATCTTGGTAGTTGATTCTATTTATATTGAATAGCTCTGGTTTATTAGATATGTGAGCAATTAGATGCAAGCAAATTAGACTAAGATTTGGTGTAAGACTTCTTATTCTTACATCGGTATTAGAATAACTTGCTCCACCTTTACCTCCCGAGATTTACCCACTGTATACCCGTACTATAGAGATACCCATACATCCTAGATTTAAACTAATACCCATGCCCATCTCCCAACCAACTGACATGCCTACAGAAAATTTGTGTTCAGTGATTGTGCCTTTTTGCTTTGCATGTTTGTTTTAGTACCTTTTTCTTTCCCTGTGATTCTTGGTACCAATTATTTTATATTGCTTTTGGACATTGTCTACTTCTATTTCCTTTTGAAATTTCTAATTTTTTGTGGTAAGGGATTCACCTTTATATTTTTGCAAGGCGCCTTGCAATGTCATTATTCAGTTCAAGTAATACTTTTGTGCATAATGTTGTTAAGGGAAAGGGAGATGATCAAACAAATTGGAGAGTGCTTCAAAATGAAAAACTTGCAAGGTTGAAGGAGAAGCTCCGTCGTAGTAAAGAACAAGTTACTCAAGGTTAGAAACCTTCATATACTAAAATAAATTTCACGAGATGCAAATTTTATTCTTTGAATCTAGAGTAATCAGTAATCTTACAGGGAGAGCTAAGATAAAGACTGTGTCTGCTGATCTGAAACTTAAATATGGAGTGCTTGAATCTGCCCTTGCTACGGTATTTTGGTTACTGTTTTTTACCTTTCTTTGCTGATGCTATTGCTATGGCCTATGGTCATGGCAATTACTGGTCAAGTTTAATGTGATTGTATATGACAATGCTGGATTATTTTATTTTTCTCTTTGCAGTTGGAGAAGAATCGAGTGGAAAAACTGGAGAAGGTCTACCCCAATCTTGTGTGCACCCAGAGCTTAGGGCATGTGAGCACTGTTTGTTTATTTTACTTCTAATTATTGTGAATTGTTTTGTGTATTATATTCTTATACAGGATTTTCCAACCAAAGCAGTATGATATACAAATGAGTATTTAAAACCAATCTGTGTTTCCTTAATGTTCAATCATATGTCACAAACATATATTTATGCTCCTTTAATGCTTTCTTTCTAAAGTTATGTGGAGTATCTTTTGTTTTTCTAGTAACTTCAAAATATATGCTCACACTATTTTGCAGGTGGCGATTACTTCTGAGCGTCTTTATAGACAGTCTGTGATCATAAAACAGATATGCAAGTTGTTTCCACAACGCCGGGTAAAGTAAACCTATGGCGATCAATATTTTGTTGATGTATCTCAATGAATATGTGATTTATGAAGTCAGACTTCCATTCAAAGTACTATGGGTATTGTGCTGACTTCTGCCTCTATGGATAGAAAGTAATGGGACTTTTACTAAAATCATGAGCTTCTTGCTTTCATTGTTTTATTTTTTGTCTTCTCGTTGTTTCTATTCTTTTATTTTTTTCAATATATTTTTTTTCTGGGAGAAGAACAACTACTAAAACAACAACCACCACCAATGCATTTTCCAACTAGGTAGCACCTAGGCATGTCTTTCCAGCATACACATCTCTTCGACGTCTCCAACATCCTTATGTTTCCTTTTTTGCCATGTTTTATGGAGTCCAAGTTATATTCGTTCAAAGGGTTCATTTGTGACAAGCTTAAAGCTTAGTAAGCTTTAGCGGGAGAGTGTTACAATATCAGAAAAATACCTCATAAGTCAGTTCAAACATGCCTGTATACTGTATGACTGAAGTCAAATATAGTGTTTTATTTTATTGCACCTCTAAGTTAGTTAAAACATGCATGTGGTGCTCATGTCCTTCTGGTGTCAGGTGGTTATAGAGGGAGAGAGAAGGGATGGTTATAGTGGTCAATATGAACAAATTTGCAATGCACGCTTACCAAGAGCACTTGATCCCCACTCTGTTCCATCAGAAGAGCTTTCCGCATCCTTGGGGTAAGCTTTTTTTCCGCTAAGATCTTGTGGGTTTATGCATAATGCTTTTTTACAAGTAAATATCTGTAGTGGTGTTGGACAAAACTTTGCTTTTATGTTTAAAACTGTAATTATATATGTTGATAAGTACACATATCGTATCATATTTCATTACTTCCTCCAGTTGTCCAGAATCCTTATTGTTACATAATTTAGACTTCACTTGAATATTCTTCTTACATAGTAACCAGTTATTATCATGTTTGCAATTTGCAAAGCAGATACATGGTGCAACTTCTAAATCTTCTTGTTCACAACTTGGCTGCCCCAGCACTTCATAACTCAGGTTTTGCGGTAAGCATTGTATCAGTGACCAAGCACCACATTAGTGTTTCCTTGAAGATCATGTTATGGATTTGAATATTTTGATCAAGCATGGTTGGTTATCTTGGTCATCATCATTTGATGGCCAGTGTTAAAATAGCATTAAAATTCACGTGGGGAATGTTGATACAGTTTTAACTTGGTGTATTCAGTGTTGATAGGGTATGCACAATGTTATTTTACAGTCAAAGCGTCTAACTTTATCCTTTTTCCTCTTCCCTTCCAATTTATCTCCTCATTTTACAGTTTGGTATTTACGGAGCCTGTTTGGCACATCTTTTTTTTAAGGTAAAAGCTACTTTTAAGTTAAAGTTAAAAAAATGAGCTTAAAAAATAAAGATAAAAGTTGTTTGGTGATTATATAAAGTTGTTCTCGGGGTTTTGAAGGAGGGGAGATAAAATTGTTTGTTATCAAGATAAATTATTGGGGTAAAGAGTAAAATTTGTAAATACAAGTTTAGAATAAGGGTGAAATTGGAAAATAAACATAAGAACTCTAAAAAGCTAGCGTACACTTAAAAAAACTTCTCTTGGGAGTTTTTAGCTTTTCCTTGTTTTATTCATTATAAAGAAACGCTCTTTTTATAATAAGAGCTTTTGTAAAAATATGTTTGGTTAAGTTTCTCTTTATAAGGGCGAGGTTGGAGCAGTGGTAAAATTGATTCTTTGTGACTGAAAGGTCACGAGTTCGAACCCGAGAAATAGCCTGTTTGCAATTATGCAAGGGTAAGGCCTCGTATAAGAATTGTCCTCACCCCAACTCTCACTAGTCGGAATTTAATAGGGAGTGGTTTTGAAGTTTCTCTTTATAAGGAGAAGAGAAGTTAAAAATAAGAGCTCTCAAACAAGCACATAGTTGATGTCTGATCTGCCAATATTGTCATAGTGATGCACTTTTTTCTCTTTTTTCTTCAGAAGGTAACTTTATAATCTAAATTTACAACCAATTTTTTTACTTTACCTCAGGGTTCTTGCTCTCGAATATGGCAACGAGATTCTTATTGGGATGCACGTCCTTCCTCGAGGAGGTACTTTAGCTGAACATATTTAGAATGGTTTATTTGGAAGTAATGACTTCTTTAACCCGAAATACTTTCTCATTTTCAGCAATGAATATCCGCTTTTTATACCTCGCCAAAATTATTGCTCAACTGGTGGGGAAAACTCGTGGTCTGATAGAAGCTCAAGTAATTTTGGTGTTGCTTCGATGGAATCTGAGAGGAGGCCTCGCCTGGATTCATCTGGCAGTAGTAGCTTTAACTATTCTTTAGCTTCTTCTCATTCTGTTCAAACACACAAAGATTTGCAGAAAGGAATTTCACTTTTAAAGAAAAGTGTAGCATGCATCACAGCTCACTGTTACAACTCCCTATGTTTGGATGTCCCTTCTGAGGCATCTACGTTTGAAGCATTTGCAAAGTTATTGGCTACACTCTCATCATCCAAGGAAGTTCGATCTGTTCTTTCCTTGAACATGGCTCGCTCTAGGTAGTCATTTATTTCCTGCGTCATAGTATGGACATAAAATTTTGTGACTACTGTATACAGTATACACGTTGTAAAAATGTTGGTAAAGGTTTACAAATTAGCCTTATTCTGACATCAATGCTGATATATTGACAAGCATTTGTATATGAATTAATTTCTTTTAAAAAAAAAAAACCATTTTCCATTAAACCCCGAGTAGCGAGGGTGGGATGGGGACAATCCTTATACGCAGTCTTACCTTTGTATAATTGCAAAGAGACTTTCTCATATTCGAACCCGTGACCTTGTGTATGAATTAATTAATCTAATAAATTGTGTTATTATGTAACAAGCATTAATAAGCTCTTGTGTTCATGACTCAAAGTGTTGGGGGAAGAGATTGGAGATTGTATACTAGAAAGAATAAAAGAAGCTGTTAGGTTAGTGTTATGAGTCCCACATTGATTGCCTATACAACTAATGTGGGGTTTATAAGGCCTTGGGCACTCCCACCCTTTGAGCTAGCTTTTGGGGTGGCGAACTCAAGGTCCGTAACAATTGGTGCTTTCATTCAGAGTTAAGTCACGGAAAAGGCTACCTATAGGCTGGATTAGGGTGTCATAGAGGTGTTGTATTGAATACTGATAGGTGAGTGAAGCCTCCAAAAGGGAAAAGGCTACAATCGAGTCAATGTCGATAGAGTGAAAGCCGCCGTGGACGTCGGCTCTTAAAGAGGTGGCAATGTTACGAGTCCCACATTGGTTGCCTACAACTAATGGGGGGTGAGGGGTTTATAAGGGTTTGGGCATTTCCCTCCTTTGAGTTAGCTTTTGGGGTGGTACATTCCAAGGTTCTTATCAGTTAGTCAGTTAACTTAGGAAGACAATTAGTTAGTTAGGATGGAAATTAGGCAGTTAGGTTTTGAGTGAAATGATTTCTGATTACACTAGCATTTTGATTTTCACCCGAAGTTTGCTGTAACATCCCCTCAAATAGAATGCAGGCAGCATTGTAGCTGAGTTTTTCTTTTCTTTTTGTTTTTGATTCAGGAGATGTAAGCAAGTTCAACAATTGAACAAATCTGTATGGAATATGAATTCTACTATTTCGTCAACTACTTTGCTGGAAAGTGCACATTCTGTTCCCACAACGGTATAAGTTATCTCATCATTTGTAATTTGAAAGAAAATCTTGAAGTGTCAGCTGATTTTTTTATGTTTTAGTGTCTTTGGTTCATCACTTGCAAATTAAAACTAGTAAGCATCTATCTTGTGGATTTCTCAGAATTGCTTGAAAAGGAGTGTAAAACTTTCTGGGTAGAATTTAATTCTTTTTTTCCACAGTACTTCAATATTCACTGAATACAAGGTTTTTCTCTAAACTTTTAAAGCTGCTTTAGAGATCTGCTAGTGTATTTTCCAATTATACTCTCTTGTATCTGATTTTAAAACGGAAAAGCTTATGTAAAGCAAATCCAAGCAGGCTGTACTTTGCTCTCTGCCACGGCTTACATAGCTACAAAGGTTAATATTTGTTTATTTGGAACCACCAATGTGTCTTAATCTTTGAAAGCATTTTTCGTTTTTGCTCTTTCAAGCCATCCTTTGGTAGGAGTTCTGATTTGAGAATTCTTTGTTTTGTATTCTTTGTTTTGTATCCTTTGTTAAATTCATTTCTATCTGGTTTATGTGGAGCTGAACGTTATGTGCAATAGTTAAATCACTGTCCCTAAAATAGGGCCCTTTTGTATGCAAAATTGGTAGTTACAATGCCCAGTTTCTATGTGTATACTGATAATCAGTGTGGCTGGGTTGAATAACTTATCATTGCCCAACAATTGGCATTCTCATTTGTATTATGATTCTTGAGCTTCACCATTGGATGAAATTTAGATATTTGTTCATAACAAATGGATTTCATACTTTTATCTTCTTTTACAGAGAATTGAAAATTATCTACCAAGTTCTGCTGCTAGTTTTCTTTACCCCACTGATTTATCTGATGGAAAAAGTGAGTGCTTAATTGAAGGGTGGGATATTGTTGAGCATCCTACTTTTCCTCCCCCACCATCTCAAAGTGAGGATGTTGAGCACTGGACTCGGGCCATGTTCATAGATGCTAAAAAGAAGTGATCGTCTGCAATGTACTTCTGCTTTCTGTAAGCATTCTTTTTTAATAAAACTTTCTTTCCTGAAATGTGAACAACAATTTACTCATAGATATGGGTTTACGTCCGACCAATATGGACTTGCACGTTAGGTAAATGCTTTTTCTGGGAAAATAATTTTTTTTTGTTTTTTACGGAAGCTCGCTCAAGAAGCTTTTGATTATAAGTTTTTTTGTCTCCAAGATATGTTGATCCGAACACTAATTTATTCTTTAATTACAAAAAAGGAAGAAGCAAATTCATGAAGGTTGGACAGTTGGGTTGCAAATGGTAATTTGGTTATAGAATATGGTTATGGACCTAACTGTTTACTACTACATGTTTTTCATTAACTTGCCCCTTCTTTTTCTTTTTGGGGTTGATACATTGTTAGGATGCAATTCAGCTGATATAAGTTCAACTTTGAAAGGGTCAAAACCGGGGGGAGGGGGGGCGGGGGATAAGATTGATCTGGGCTTGAGTTTTAGCTGCACATACACATGAGCCATTAGTTTAAAGTTTTGAACTCAAGATAGCTACCACTACCAGCTTAGGGTTTTACAAATATGTATCAATTCTGATGTCTAACATACATAACTAGAGACAATAGCTTTAACATTCAACCATTCAACATTGTGCCTTTATTCGAGTAGTTTTTCTCTTTATCTGGCTTACAATACGCATATATTCAGTTTTTGGTTTATATATGTATGTTTTTTGGCTGACTGGAAAGTTTTTCTTGGGTTTCACTTGTCAGGTTGAAGGGAGTGGAAGCCGACACAAGATTCTGGAGGATTAATTTATAAAGTACTTGCAAATTAGTTCCTCTCCCCCCACCCTCGGGGGTGTATATATAGATTATGAGAATTGTGAATATGTAAATATTTATAGGCAAGGTTCATTTAATTCTTAAATGTGGCAAAATCTCATCAATAATTGATTGTGTCTAGCTTCAGTGCTTCATGGTTTGACTCGAGTTAGTTTGACTCCTGAATTATAGAATTTATCTGACCACTAGTGTTTTATCTTTTATCTGACTAGCAATCAGATTCAGCAGTTTTAAGCAAGCATGCAGATATTTCCTATGTAATTAATGCTTAATGCTTCCTCTCAAGTGTACTAAACGGAACTAGATGATTTGAGCAATAACCAATCATCTCATTTTATCTGAAATACGTTGTGCCTCCAATGTGTGTTAACAAAAGATATTCATTTTAAGGAAGAATGCATCGATGGTGTTATAAAACTAGTTCACCCGGATTCAGTGATCGGAGCTCTAAACGTTATGTCATTCACGCTGAACTGGTGAAGCAATCTAAACAGGTAAAACTGGTGTTCTTAAAGCGGCCCATTTCATATATAAAATCGTCAGCATGTACACTTCATATGATAACTCTCAAAAAACTGGAAAACACACTCATGCTTGTAGCTGATCTGAGCTTCAGGTTTTCAGCTCTATCTTGTGTTCCTTCCTCCGGTGTGCAGCAGTAATGATACTTTTGAGTCCTTTTGATCGTAAATACACTCGTGCTTGTAGCTTATCTTAGCTTCAGGTTTTCAGCACTCGCTTGTATTCCTTCTTCCTCCGGTGTGCAGCAGCAATGATACTTTTCGATCGTGTGAAAGGCCTTCTAGGATTTTAATTTGGGAAATAATAGTCTTATGTTGTAAGATATTAGTATTTCGTGTCATAGACACAAAACATGTGAATCTTACTCATTTATTTATTTATTTTAAAAAGTGAGATTCACATGTTTTATATCTATAATATGATATACTAGTCTCATACAATATATGAGATTAATATTTTCCTTTTAATTTTAACGGCAACTAGGCAGTCTGGACTTTATGTTAAAGCCCACAACTATCCTTTTGATTCAAACTGAATAAAACCAAACCGATTCATATTTTAAAAAATTGGTTCTAAACAAAATTACCTTTTACTGGTATGTAAAGAGGAACCAGATGTCTGTTGCCCAAATCCGAACATTTTCGGGATTGAATAAAACTTGAATCATTTAGCGTAGGAATTAGAGGTGATAAAATGGATCTAATCTATTAGGTTGTTATATTTAACACGCCACAAGCGGGGGATTGCGTTGGGATCTCAATTTGCCAACTCACTTGAACTCCCTTCATAGAAGGGCAGGTTACAACGGGTACAATCTGCAACGGGGTGGATTGATTCGTCAGATTAGTTTTCTTTATTATTATTATTATTATTTGTCGTGTCAAGCTTTTATGATATTTAAAATTTTTATTTTAGTATTACTCAAAAAAAATAAAACAAAGAAAAAAACACTATATATGGAGGCAAAAATAGTTTTTAGAGACTATCAAATTGAATATTAATATAGATTTAGGTTTGTGATTGAAAAAAATTAATGGAAGTGTGAAATAGAATTAAACAACACTATAAAACACGTTAAATTAGATTGATTTTTAATTTTTTAAATGAGTTAATCCGCTAATCTACCATAAAAAATGGGACAAATTGATCTTTTAAAAAAAAAAAGAAGTATGCATCCTTTTAAATGATATAAAGTTATATCATTTTAAAAGAGAAAAAGAAATAAATAAATTATGGAGGAGAAAGAGTAAGGTTTTTTTTTTCTCTCTCCCCCTGATCTTTTTTTTTCTCTATTTTAAAAAGATTATCTTTAAAATGATACACACTTTTTCGTATTTTCAACCGCCAAAATTGTTAGTATTGCACATTACTCATTAGACAACTAATAATATAAAAATTATCCCGTGACTCAATTACTCATGTTATATTGTTTAATTTATATTGCCCCTTAATATGCATCAAACACAACTTTTTATCATTTTTGTTTTCGAATTTGCCCCTTCGTGGGTTTTCCGCCGAGGGAGTGGGCTTTGGGCCATCTTCAGGTAATTGTTGGGTTGTGATGTCCATGCAGCACAGTTAAGAAAATTATTAATAAGTATGTATTAAATTTAAGTATAAATACATTATAACTAAGAATTGAATGATAAGAAGTTTCAGTTAAATTTTTTTCTCCGTTTTCATTAATATAATTTTTTAAAAATGATATTAGAAATTTTTTCAAGTAGAATATCGCAAAAACAAATTTATAAGAAATAAGAGTAACGTTTAAAAATGTAAACAAATATTTTTTTGTTAAAAAAAAGCTTTAATGTTTCTACAGTGTGAGTGTAGATAAGTTATCCATATTCGTTTTTAAAATGGTGCTATTTTGGGTTAAAAAAATTAATAAATTATAATGAAAAAGACTATTATAACCTTGAAATAAATTATATTACAAAAATATTTTGATTTTTGTCTCAAAATGAAGTCATTTTGTGCTCAATGTAAATAAGTTATTTATATTTAGAAAAAACCCTAAAAAAAAATGTAAACAGTTAATACGTCACTAAAAGTTAAGAAATTTGACTTACTAAAACGACGGATATTGTAGGTAATTAAAAATTGAGGAAGGTTATACTTCCAACATTTTTTTTTACAACCTCTTACAATCATATCTTAACAACGTTAATTTCTGTCAAACAACGGTTATGATTTTTGCAAATTAAATTCATTAATTAATTATTAATTCATAATAAATGATAATCGTTGATTGGCGAAAATCAACGGTGTTAAGATATGGTTGTAAGAGGTTGTAAAAAAAAGTTACAAGTATAACATTCATTTTAAAAATTTAGTAATTAAAAGGAAATGTAGATTGACAAATGACATACTAATAGCATCAACCTTAAAATAATCATTATTGTTTTTGCAAAGAATGGTATACATGCTGATTAAGAATGAAGCAAAAATGTTTGTTTTGTTTTTTATCCAAAAAAAAAGAAAGAATGAAGCAAAAATGAGATGAAACAATAAGCAAAATTTGATGCGGTTTTAAAAACCAATGCTAGCTAGAATGTTGTTGAGCTGGTACGCCGTAGTTGGTATTTCGGAGTGAGAGTTGTAGCTGAAAGTGACTGTGCATCTATTTCCTGCAATAGTAATATGAAGAAACATTAAAATATAAGCCTCATTCGATATAGTTGAAAACAAAACCATGATATGCAACAGTTAATCAATTTTTTTAAATTTTTTTATTTTATTTTATTTTTGTTCTAAATTTTAACTCCAATGTGTAACGGCTATTCTTCTGTTATGGACTGGATCTATATCTTATAAACCCTATTACTAACAAGATTGGATAAGGATATCGCAACCATATAATTTAGAGATGATCAAGGGATAAAATCTTTATCCCCATTAATCAAGACAGATTTCATATCCTTATCCCCATCAATCAAGACAGATTTCATATTAACTGGGAGATCTCAAAGGCCCAAGCCTTCATACCATGTTAAGAACCTTGAGGTTACCATCCCAAAAGCTAGCTCAAGAGGTGGGAGTGCTCAAGGCCTTATAAATGTCATATTAGTTGCCCATCCAATCAATGTGAGACTATATATCTCAACACGCCCCCCTCACGCAAGAGCCCTTTAGGCTAGAAGCGTGGAAATTACACAGGCCCAATTTTTGGTTTACTTTTTTGTGCTTTTTATTTTTAATTCCACTTTAAAGTGGGGGACGGTGAGGCTCTGATACCATGTAAAGAACCTAGGCTCTGATACCATGTAAAGAACCTTGGGATGTAATCCTTATAAATAAGAGATTAAAGACCTCAGAGACACACTCGGAACTCATTAATAAAAATATCTATCTTTTAGCCTATTGCTTGTGCGCACTAATTGAAGTATTGACTATAAGCTAATTAGAGTATCTATCTCTAAGATATCTATGAACGCATACCATACAATATAGATATACGGTTCAACACGATCGGCGCACATCCTCAATAATACATCACATTGAGCGTAGGAAAAAAGAAAATGAAAGCGTTAAAACTGAGCTTCATTTAGGCAAATGCAATGACCTCGTTTGTTAAGCAATTTCTGCGCATTCTGCTTTCCTTTTCCTTTCTATTAAAAACTAAAAAAAGCCTTGAACATGAAATATATTAATTAAAAAATTGCCACCACCAAATTGTTCTTATAAAACAATCAAAATTGTTAGCGTCCGTTTTCATATAATAAGAAGAAAAATTGTCGTTTACAGTTGCCATCTCTATCAATTAATCTATGTAAATTGAAAATGGCGGTTCTTGGTCTCGATTTTTAGATGGATAAATAATATATATTGCCGTATTTGTTTGTGGTCTTTGGAGTCAAGCTAATAAAAAAATAAACTTTTTAAGGCGTAAATATACAGTTATATCATTTTTCTCTTTATCACTAATTTTCTCTGAAAAAGTCATTTATTATTATTATATTTCTCAAAACAGACGTCGACAATTACCTAAAATGTTTTTATATAAATTTAATCAATCATTATAATTAAACTAAATATAGTCCCATCAATGCGATAAAAAAATGTTAAAAATATGGGATTAATATTTTTCCTTATAAAATACATAGAATTGTGATAGTTTAGTCAAAATTACTGTGTTTTATAATTAGAGAAATAGAAATTATAGTGGGAGAAAGTGAGAGATTTTTTTAATTTAAATATTAAATAAATAATGATAATTTAAACTAAAATAAATATCTTTTAAAAGGACAAATATTTTTTATAAAAATATATATTAAATAAACAAAAACTACTTATTATCAAGATTTGATCCACGAATTTTACTTTGCATGACCAAATACTATTTACTATTTTTTGTTTGTTTGAAGCAGTTAGATTTTAAATTATATCAAGTATTTTTAACATAATTTCGAAAGTTTCAAAGGACGAGCATGAACTGTTTTGAACCTTGGGCCACATGGCCGCCAGCCCCATCTTGCCTTTGTCCCTGCTCAGTGCACCAAAAAAGAATAATTAAATATGTCAATCTCAATACAATTTTATAAAAAATAAATAAATTAATAGTATATTCTGCTAATAATGAGCAATAATGATATATTTTCTATCAAACCTTTAAATGAACAAGATTATACTAAATTAAAAAGAATGATGGAAATTTATATAGTTAAAAAAAATTGGGCCTCTATCATAATCCAGTATTGT